TTTTTACGTTAATAAATCCCGGCATAGAATGGGTTACCCCTTCCATACCCGTGGATGTAGTAAGAAACTACTAAGGTTTAATAGCCGACAGATGGGCAGCAATGCCCTTCTTAGACCATCACCAAAGCCTATGGTTGCTAACCCGTCTGTCAAGTATGTCAACTATTAGAAAAACCCTTTTATGGAGGAGGTCTTTGTCCAACTGTAGACAATTAATGGCTGATATAATGATATAGGGGGAAAGGGATTGTTAGTAATGAGATTTAACAGCCCTATTGCTAGCAATACCCCCTATTAGGTCGACCTCCACGCAGTTCTCCTTGGAAACCATAGTGGTTAATCCTTATTCAATTGGTCACTATAGGCTAACTAACCTACCTTCATCCTCACTTGTCACTCATCACTGGTACCCTACCAGCGTGTACCATTCCACCTTCATCCATTAAAAAAAAGATATGATGAAATATATAGACATCGTTAAAAATTAACATAAGTTTTAAAAATAATAGCTTAAAATATTTTCAAATATCTTAAATAATCTATCATCAGCTAAACTTTTAATGTATCACCATAGCTAAATCGCATTTCTGAATTACACAATACAGGCTTGTATTCGAATGAGTAATTCGTAGAATTACCTAATCATCTATGTAAAAGTGTTTTAAGTTTTTGTGTCATATCCGAACAAACATTTAGACAGACAAACAGACAAAGTTTTAAGAAATTTTGTTTTTTTTTATTTTTTTTTTTATATTTTTTTATACAACTTAGAATGGCAAACAAGCTGACGATCCACCTGATGGAAAGTGGTAACCGTCGCCTGTAGACATGAGCAGTGCCAAAGACGTAACAGAGTGTACTGTTTCGCCCATGATACCCCCCATGCGTTGCCACTCCTGAGGACTCAGGCGTTATTCCTCTGTACCCAGTAAATTCACGCCATATCCCACCCTTCAAACCGAAACACAGCCATGCAAACACAACTACTTCACGATTGAAACACGAATGGGACAGAGGTACCCAAGCAATCGACTTTCGTACAAAGTCTCCGTCTGGTAATCGCTTGATAGGAGCAATTTGTTGATGTTGATACAGATTATTAAAAATATTTTCTATTTAAAGACATCGTCCAGTTACAAATTTTATTATAATAGTAAAATATTGATTTATAGACAATTTTGTGTCGTTAACATTTTCCATTTAAGACAAATTGTATAAATTAACAAACAAACTCAGGATAGCGTTTCCTCATAGCAACAAAAATTGTTTTACCTATGTGAGTGATATTAAACGAAGGTATAACAAAACTGCTGAGTAAATTAGCATACACTACAAATGAAATATATGAACCTTGACCCCCAGACATGGATTCCGTTCATTGCATAATGGAATCTATTGATAATGTCGATTTGGTGAACTTTGGCTCACGGCCGAAAACGATGCGGTGTTAGTTTTACCGGAAATATCATAGAGGCATTTGCAAATATTTGGTATTTTTAAAAATTGTTATAGATTTAGTTTTTAAAACAAGAATATCGTTTTTTTTTTTATTATGAGATAATACAGATATTGCCGATCTTACGTCGTTTTTATAGGCCAGCATTATAAAACCAAATTATTGCACTTAATTTTTTTGTGAGACTAATTTAAGTTAAGCTTTTACCTGTGACTTCATCCGTGTGGCGGTTATAAAAATAAACCTATTTCTTATAATTAAAGCTATCTCTATGTCCTTTTTTATCTCATATGGTATATATAAATTACTCATAGCGATTGATTCAGTCGTTAAAACGTTAAGAAGTAACAAAGAAATTCACTTTCACATTTATAACATTAATAAGGATTCACGACGGCGAAGATTAAATGATTTATTTAATGTTTAAATTATAATGCTAACGTATGCGCTATGAGAGACGCTTGCATTAGCTTATACCAAACATTGTGAGATAACAATCGACGTGGTTAAGACACCACGAACACTGATTGACGTCACACAATATTCCCACCGTGTTTCCCCTGAATACATTCTTATAAAGTACATACGTAAATTTTGTTCTATGAAATTAGTAATTTCGATTAATTCAATCTCATTATTTGATAATATCTGTTATAAGGTATCTCAATTCGTACTTTACTGGTATTATTATTAATATTATAAATGTGAAAGCGACTTTGCTTATTTATTACATCTTAGCGTCTTAATGCCTTAACCAAATACTATGAAATTTGAAGTATGTCAAATTTCATACTATACTAATGTTATATAGCATGGAAAAAGACCAGGGCCGTAGCTAGACCCATGTTTAGAATAGGTCCAAAGAATTTTTTGGTAGAATTGTAGTAGTAGTAGAGAAGCTATAATTAAGTGACTTCGAAAAAGCGAATCTAATTTTCTTGGGGCCTTTCATTTTATGGTAGAGCTTTGCCCCTCAATGCCCCCCCCCCCCCCCAGCTAAAGTCATGAGAAAAACATATACTACTTTTTATTGGTATATAACTAACTAACAAGTTTTAGTAAACATATACTGGTTATACGGACGAAGTCGCAGGTAAACACTAGTATGTCATATATCAGTGAAATTACAGGTATACATAATATCCTAAAAAGCGTGACGGGTACTGTGGGCAGCATAGTATAATAATCATGGTTCTAATCATTAATAAATAATCATTAATCACTAATAGGCGACTGTTATCACCTCCGATCAGGTGTGAACTGTCGGCCTGTTTGTTATTTCCAGTTAAATAAAAATATATATAAAAAAAAAAACAAAGAACACAGTCTACAATTCTTACCTACTCTATGTACAATTTAAATTTGAAGGATGTGAAATTTAACCTTCGCACGGTCGTGTCGATTTAGTAAGTTATGTTTTACTGTTTAACTATTACGTAGCGATACGTGTTCCACATGCAGTACAGTGGATTAGCCCTAAAGGTCGCGCTTCGATTTCGTAACAGTGTCAAAAGTTTTACTGCGCCCTTAACTTGAATTTATTGTAATAATTAGACGTTACTAAACAAGGTTCAGGGCCTTCTTTTAATGGGTGAAAATGATATGGTTACATCGCTTGCGTTATTGGTAAACGCTGGCTTGGGTACCTGTGCCAGATGATAGGTGAAGATGGAAGATCCGCATACCTACTCTTGAATTAAAATTCGATATAAATCCAATCTACTATCAATGTTAATTTTGTACTGTACTCATGAGATAACAGTTAAGAATTAAGTTATAGTTGGAGTCGGTTTACAGTAGTTTACATTGACAAGTTATACTAATATCCATGTAAATCCATGGAACACTTGATGTGCAACTGCGATTCGTTGGCAAGTATGCGTATGAGTCTACTGGGAACGGCTTATCCAGAGGCAAGGGACTACAGATATCTTAAACCGCGGGATATCGTTAAGGTAACACAAAGGATCTATGAAATGATGGTATAAGGCAGGGGGAAGCACAAAAGATCCTAATGGGTCGACGTGCAACAGCTTAGCTGACCCCATATGCGAATATAAAATAAGATAATATCCATGTATCAGAACAATATGAAACTATTATGTTGTTAGTACTGCAATTCGAAAGAGAGAGAGAGAGAGAAACGTCTCAATTTTAATATCGATCTATTGGAATTTATTTCAAGAGTAACCCACCAGTTGGTACACCGTGATGATTACGACTTTAATTCGTGAAGAACGACCGTATCGTAGAGGTCGACGTAATTGTTAGAAATAGAGCTATAAAACCTCATTACTAACAGAGTTTCCTTCCCTCCTAGATAAGAGCTATTTTATTTTTTTAATGAAAGCGGATAAAGTACAAAGATACGAAGTCGAAAGCGTATCTTTCTACATAAATAAATAATATTTTAGACAACCATATGATAGTCAGGTAGTGTTCTAGTTCGTGATTGAGCATAATTAAATTCAGAAAAAAAAAATATAAATTATTTAACATCATACATTTTTAAGATTAATTTTAAAATTGAGTCTTTTAGTACTGAAATTTTTTATTGGCACCTACTATTATTTTTCTTTTGTAAGTGGTCTACTTATTTTTACAAAAACCACACAAAATATGCAAATTATAATAAAATATGTTATAGTATTTTAAAATGATATAAATAAACTCAAAACGATTATACAGATGACATTGTTTGAAAGAAAGAAAGAAAGAAAGAAAAATATTTTATTCAGTGCAATGTAAAAAATACAATATAAACAACAAACGAGAAAAAAAATGAGCAAATAAAATGTACATATAATTAAACTTAATTTACCATAATTAAAAATAAACATAAAATAATCATTTTTACATCCAAAAATGCACTGAAATGGCTCCACTCAGCTTTGACACGTATTTGATGTTAGTTAATCACGTACGGGCGTTTAATGACCAAACCATGTTATTTTAAACATTACATTTTAATAAATACTTATCTTTTCAAATCTTTTTTAATGTAAGTAAATTTGAGTTTCTTCAAATTTCATTTAAACAGATAAGGTTTTGAAATTACAATTGAATCAAAAAATATATATTTTAAAATATCTTTTATATATGAATAAGCTTACTCAAATAAAACTTATTTATTATTTGATTAAAAAGATAATTGCTCCTTTATCTAAAGTGTTATCCTTTATAATCTTTTAAACAGACATAAAAAAAGAAGATCCTCAATTCAGTTGTATTTGATTGCCTCTTAACTCCGTTATTTATAAACCGAGTTGAATAATTATTTTTTATCTGAAAGGATATACTTACAGATTTTTGTCATAGAAATTTTATCAAAATCGGTTCAGTCGTTTAGTTTTAAATCTAAATAACTAGTTTAGCCACAATTGAAGTCGGGTTTTTTTGTGAAACAATGTTACGTATGTGCATATACGTCTACTCTAATAGAGTTTATTTTTAATTTGATTTATATATAATTAATTATTAATTTAGTTAAAATGTTACATGTCATTTAAATATCTTTAATAATCCTTTAAAATTTTTGTTACAGAAGTGTTGGCGCAATTTGAAATTCAAATGGCCAGTAAAATGAAACGATACAGTTTACATTTTAGAACATTCTTATTGGTGAGTACAGCCTACTATTATACTAGAATTAGTAGCCATTAATAGACTACAATAGGTATAAATCTATATATTGAAATATAGATTAAAACGTAGGTTTTTTTATGCAACATAGAATGGCAAACAAGCTGACGGTCCACCTAATGGAAAGTAGTAACCGTTGCCTATAGACATGAGCGGTACCATGGCCATAACAGATTATACTGTTTCGCCCATTATACCTCTCATGCGTTGCCATTCCTGAGGATTCAGGTGTTATTCCTCCCTTCAAACCGATAAATCCAATATAAAATGTAATTCGTCGTAGTATTAAAGAATGCAGTTGAGCGTAACGTTTTTTTTTCTTTAGTCTTAATAATATAAATAAATAAATATACCTACGGCTATAAATCTTAATAGAATGGTCAGAGATATTTATAGAATGTCGCCGTTACGGTGAATATAAACTTTTTTTTAATAATGATTTATTTAAAAAATTATCTTCAGGGTAACTCGACTAATCCTTACTTATAAAAATAGTTTTTATTAAAATATTTAGATACTTTTGTGACAAACCAATCGAAATTAGATCTATAATTATATACTAGTTTTTGACCGCAACTTTATACATGTGGATTTTAAACTACTTTTAAATGGCGTATCAAGTAAATTTCTAAGGGCAACGAACATTCACGAACACAAGTATGAAAAATTGTATGATTATAATATCTAATTTGATGTAGTAGTTTTTTCGTGATGCCTGTACAAGCATATAGACAGACAGATTAAAAAAATTCTTCTATTTATCTCATTAAGCCCCTCTATTTTTTTTTATATATCCTCTAGTATATATACAGTATGCCGTGGGGTTCCGGCATAGAATGGACCAACTCTTTCTTTCCATCTACTTAAATCGTAGCGGTACTCGCTTGCTGGCAAGTGAGTACCGCATCAACAAAGCCCTTCCGTTCCCGTGAGTATCGTAAAGACAACTAAGGGATCTTAACCCTTCCTTGTATAATTTTTTTTATTGATGAAATAAATCAAGGTGATATAACTCATGTTCAAAATTAAAGAAAAAATGGTTAAAAAATAATTGACAGCTACGTTTTTTTTTCTGCAATGCACATTAAAAAGGTATCCAGACACGATAGACTTAAAGTCAACTTGTTCTTCTATATAATTTTTGGGCATTCAATGTTATGATAGAAATTTCCACTGTCGAAAGAAGGATAACTGCGTTCCTCTTAAAACATCAATCAAAAACTAACTGCGATTGTCAACCCGCCTGCTAAGCGTGGCAACTACTCACAAAAATCACCAATATGAGCTATGTTTAGCAGTGGTCAGTTAACAACTGATTTAATAATAATATAATATAATATTAATAATTTGCATACACATATATGGCAATAAAAGGGGTTGGGATCTCAGCTTTCTTTTTTCCAAAGGTTTTTGGGACGGGTTGTCTGAGAAAACCGGCAAATAAGCCGAGAATAAAGTAAATAATAATAAATAATATACACAGTCTAGTTACAACTTTACTATATGTATATAGACTACAGGCGCCACTTGGTGTAACAAAAAACATAATAAGTCGGAGTTCACACTGCGGGAGAGCATAACGAATTATAGACAAATTATACGCCATTATTACAAACGCTCCGCCATTTTATACAGTGCCCCATTAGCATTTAGTAAACTTACTTATATTCATAATGTACACGATCAAAAATATATTAAGATATTAAGCGAACGTTGCTTAACATATTGATAAGAGGGGGAAAGGGATTGTTCGTAATGGGGTCCAACTAACCCATTGCCAGCAATACACCCTATTAGGCCGAACTCCACGAGATCCTTCTCGGAAACCTTTGTGGTTAATTCTAGCAGAATTCGTCACAATGGGCTAACTGACCTGCTTTCATAATCATCTATCATCCCTTATTTGTGCTCCGCCAGCGTATACCGACAGCGCAGGCAGGGTTACCATGCCATTATCACACATTAAAAAAAAAAACATAGAAATAGGCCACTGATGATTTTCGATACGTTTATGTCAATATTTGTTTAATGCAACTTAGAATGCCAAACAGGCTGACGGCCCACCTGATGGAAAGTGGTAACCGTCGCCTATAGACCTGAACAGTATCACGGACATTAAAAAGTATACTGTGTCGCCCATGATACCCGTCATGCGTTACCATTCTTTAGGACTAAGGTGTTACGCCGCTGTACCTTGTAATTTCACTGTCATATCTCATTCGGAAACAGCCTTACAAACACAAATGCTTTACGGCATAAACACGAATGGGACAGAGGTAACCAAGCAAACGTTTTTAAATAAATTACATTTCATAATTAAAGTGGATATTTCATTGAATAATACCAGAAATTAGAACGCTAAAAAATATTTGCAACAAAAGTAAAAGCTCTACTCTCTAAGTGAGAAAAGAAATGCTATCAAATCTACCTTCGATTCATGCCAATTTAATATTATATTAAATTCTAAATAATATAATCGTAAGTTTTGATTTATTTATTTACTTGCTGTATCCTGTGGCTCCATCCTGGTGAATCAGTACATAAGTATCCTATGTACTAAGTTAGGATATAACCCACTCATATACCAAAATTTTATTCAAATCCGTTTAGTAGCTTATGCGTGAGAGAGTAAGAAACATCCATCCATTCATCCATCGTTATAAACTTTTGCATTTATTATATTAATAGGATTTACACTTTATTACATTAGTTATAAAAATAATAAATACAGTAAATTATTGATGCGAAGTTTACAAAAGGCAATCCTTATCGTGGATAGAAACTAGCAATTATAATAATAATATTTGCTTATTGCCATTTTTTATAAATACGATACAATAATTACAAAGTTAGTAGAACATACATTAATAAATACATTATGAAGTACTCGTATGCTTAATAGGTACAATCAGACACACACACACACACACACACACACACACACACACACACACACACACACACACACACACACACACACACACACACACACACACATATATATATATTTTGCTGCTCGACATTAGTCAATTCTCAGACGCCATGTCTCTAATCTATCCCTTAACTCAATATTTTAAATTGATTATTTTACGAAATTACTATTTTACGCACTATCGTTAACTAAAATTACAATAAAAGTATTAGAAAATTAGTTTATATTGGTCCCTATGACAAAGATTTTGGCTATGATAACGAACTGAAATTATAATTATAGAAATAGTTCTCATAATCGACCCTAGTGTCTGTCAAACGTTACTATTCTTGAGGACTGAGAGGATATGAACCATATATTATGATTTCATTGTAAACATAAGCACAACTAGTACAGAAACATTTTTCCTTTTCCTTATTTCAAAAGAAAGGACGTTATCAATTCAGTTGCATGTTTTTTTACGTTTGTTACCTCATAACTCCGTCAGTTATAAACCGATTTGAAAAATTCTCTTCGCATCTGAAAGCATATACTTCCAAATTGGTCCCATAGAAATTTTATCGAAATCGGTCTAGTAGTTTAATTTTTAAATTAAAATAATTGGTTTTTCTCGCAATCGACGATAATTTTTTTGTGGTACAATTTAATTATCTATGTACAAGTACATCACTAGAGTGATTGCAATTTCTAATTCCATATGAATCGTCACTCCCATTCCGTTGATTCCCATACATTTGTCGTGCAGCTATGTGTACTCATTTAACGGTTTATTCGTTTCGTATTGCGGGAGCGTTGCGTCAGAGCCACGAGCGCGCACTTGACACCACTATGCCAATATTGACACACACTTCTGCAAAAGAACACGGGTCAAAGTGTATAGCAATTAGCAAGGTTTGTCGCGCCATGAAACATTCTTTACATGATTATGGATTCATTTGAGTCGCTAATAATTTCTCCTTCCAAGAAACATTGGATATTCGTATGTTAAATAACAATGTTTAATTTATTTATTTATTCAATTGCATATGTTGAAATAAACACACTGGATCCTCTGATAGACTGTGAAAATTGTGCAGTGATTAATCGGCATCCATGGAACACTAGTATGCGTGTGAGTTTACTGGGAACAGCTTTGTTGGAGCTAGATGATTATAGATATTTATACAGCGAAATATCGTAAAGGTAAATGATGGTATGGTGTAAGGCAGGGGAAAATACGAAAGGTCTCAATGAGTTGAAGTGCAACGACTTAGTTGACCTCATATGTAACTAAAGGATAAGATAACACACTGGATTCAAGAATAAGATTGTAATAGTACATAAATACACAAAGAGCCTTTTGGAAATATCCAGACTTTACTAAGTGACAAAACCCAACATTTATCTCTATTAAACGTAAAGCCATTTTAACGTTCCAGTATTGCACCCGATCAATATCTTATTGAAGAAGTTTGCAATCAGAATTGCTATTAGCTTTTAAGAATAAATTTGAAATCATCAGCGAAAAGTAGACATTGTGCTGTTTTTACTTACTCTAGCAACGGTTCAAGATTGGAATCTTGGCTCACGCCGGAATAAGTAAAATATTATATATAAGGTTCAGAATTATGGCCACGATACGGAATATATTGCTTCCGATCACTCAAGTAAGAAGCAAAAAGTGCAATAATGATGGGGTAAAAACCAATAAAAGCTAACTCTTTAAGCACATCATTATCTACCATATCAAAAGCCTTTTTATAGTCAAAGGAAACCACATCAACCTGAGATCCGGAATCAACAGTCCCATTTGCGTACGTCCAGAATGACATCAGATTACTGGTAGTGAAACGTCCCTCTCTAAAGCCATGCTGAGCGTTTGCAAGTACACTCCTAATTTGTTGAGTGATATGACGATGTAAAAACGACTCAAGTAACTTACCAAATGCCGACAATACTGCTACTGGCCTATAGTCAGTAACAGATACTGCAGGTTGTATTTAATGTATAAGGGATTGGTTATTTTATTTATTTAATCTTTAATGCACAGTAAAATTCTATATACATT